AAGCGATGAGATATTGGTAAAAAAATTTAAAACCAGTTGTAGATGCTGAACATGCCCGCATGATTGCCACGTGTGATGCGCTTGGCTTTGTTGATAATTTATTGGATTCATGATTAGTTGAACTTGTGATATAGTACATTGTTATAGGCTGCCCTATTGAACAGGATGTGAGCCAGAATCGTGTAGTTCTTGAGGTTAAGTCTACAAACATAACCTTTGATTCAACTGGCTTGGCGCCTGGAAGGCGGGACTTTGTGACCTAATTAAGGTGATTATGATTTCAAAGCCATTGAATATCCTCAGTGGAACTCCCACATGCCAAAGTATGGGTGTATGTCAAGAGGCGCGATTTTTATTGCCAAATGGAATTGAATAGCGAATAATAAGTGTTCTAAAACATTCTAAAACTATTCAAATTTTGGAAGGAGATTTATTAGATAACTAGTTGACTTACCCGGCTCCGCCCGGCCCTGTCATTATTATATGCGTAATCAGCATGCTCGATTACCCCCAGCCCCGTAGCTCAAATTTTGCAAAAAATCGATATCGATCGATGACGAAAAGTAGCCTATGACACCCGCCGGGGCCCGAAGTGTATGTGTGCCAAGTTTGGTCCGGATAGGTTCAGAAATGGAATTTTCTATTCGGAACATACGTACACACAGACACACAGACAGACAGACAGACAGACAAACAGACATTCAGCTTTATATATAAGATTTCATGGGTTCCTTAATTTTGCTATTTGCAACAGGAATACATCCTCCTTTAATGCACGACCTACCGATGTGGACCTACGTAGTGCGCTAAGGTAACCTTGCAGGACTAAATTCTAATTCGCCCTCACATACTTAAAAGTTCATCTATAGTACATTTATAAAATCGTGACGACGAATATTAATGCGGACTTTGCGCCCATCGGGGCATAAAACGCTCATACAAGAAAGCATCACCTCAAGGTTCAGCTTAGCCACTTCCAGTGTCTAAATATTCATACGTAAGCAAAAAACCATTCGACTAGAGATGAACCAAGAAAATGCAATTTCCGGAAGTGGCGTGCGCGTCGCGCGCCGTCGCGCCATTATCACGATTTTTCAAATGCCCTATACTTATTGCAATCTCACTTTCATTGAATGTCCAAGCAAGCCTATTGCTTTGCGGACTATCTTTGTTATTCCAAATTTCTCTTCGTTTTTTCCTCTAACTCAAAATTTGAACCGAAATCCAATGCTAGTTTTTGATGTCTTTGAAGCTTTACTATTGAAGAAATTCTGCAAAAAAGCTACACATCTGGTACAGCTGTGAGTTGAGAACCAGGATCGGACGTGTGTAAATATAGTCGTCCTCCCCCCACTAGAAACCCAATGGACGAATTCGAATTTGAACTAGAGCACGTTGGTTGCGGCAGAGCGCGGCACCGTCAAATTCGTTTCAAGCTCTTGCAGTGTTCTTTTGTATTGCTCGTCGTTGCATGGTAATTCATTTATCTCGATGGCGTTTGCAATCAGAATTGACGAGTTTGTTGTTGTTTAGCGATGTTTCATACCTTATGCTTCTCTCTAGCTCTATTTTCAAATAAAGTTGAAAAAACAGCACGAAACATTCCTCAAAAGCAATACAATCTCCAATCTCAACTAAGAAGACTGTTAGAGACCGGCCATACTATTCCTGTGATTCCTACAATTCCTGCGATTCCTATGGTTGCTGCGGGTCCCGTAACACTGTATCTTGCGAATAAACAATGTGTACTTAAATTCGCAAAGCACTCCGTAGTGCGGCACATCGGAAGTCGAGGAATCACAAGATTTGCAGGAATTACAGAAGTCGCAGGAATCACCTCCTGGAATAGCATGGCCGGTCCCTTAGCATTCAAAAAATTGCATAAAACGTCGGAGAAATGCAAAGAAAAACTTTGAGTTTGAATGAAAAGCCGAATGTGCCGCGCTCTGCCGCAACCAGAATGCTCCAGTTCAAATTTGAAATCGTCCACTGGGTGTCTAGTGGGGGGAGGACGACTATACAATTATGTAGATTCATATTACGACTTCTGCTATTGGCAATATTCGAGTATGCAAACCTTTTCATGTTCGACTGACTCGATAAATCTTAACACATAATGTCTGTAGCCGACACCAAAATGGTAAACCGTTTATTCGGCTAACGTTCGTTCTACTCGCCTTCGCCAGAGCCTATTAAGCACGGTACATTTAGATTAACCCCATCAGATACCTCATCATTTGCAGAAAAGGGTTTGAAAAGTAGACTAGACTCCTGTCCAAACCTAGAGCATAACTCCCCTTAGCCGATAAAAGTTATTAGAGATAACCGCTCGCTGGTGTGCGCCTGCGATGCGGTTGCGCGAGTCAGGATCAAGGAGCACATGGATAGGTTACAAGATCACGATTGTCAACTTTGAGCATCCACCGTATACTATGTCACCAAAAGCAAAGTTCAATACAGTCTGCACCATCCCAATCAGGCCAAAACTGGCATGACGGGAATTCGCGTCGCTAGGGTTTTGCATGACGTCTACGGCCTGCTTGCTAGCCTCTCTTTTCAATCTCTAAGCTCTCCGGCAGGGTGCATATGCATCGCAAACCGCTGGCGCAGGGAGCGCGCAGATTTGGTCAACGTCTGGCCCCATCCCGATTGGAGCAGAGTGTATGCCAGTTAACATAAAGGCTAGTGCATGACGAAGGCGCAGAAGCAGAACTGGTTGAGCGAACGCGACGCGCGCGTATTTCCACCGTTGCAGATCCTACGCTTCATGCGCTCTGCGGCTAAAAAAGCCGCATTTGCGCCCTAAGATATTGCGCCTTCGTCACGCAGCAGCCTATACTATCAAGGGAGACGAAGTGTCCACGGAAGACTCTTAATGCGTGCTGGATTTCATCCAAAAATCTAAAACGAATCGAGAAGATGGATGCATCGCATTAACAAGTGAGCTCGCGCCGTTCCTGGATTCATACAAGTTTAGATCTCAACCTCCGGGACCGACCTCATTTATCGCAAAGGGTATACCAGCCGGCGGTGGTCTCCAACAGCTTTTATCGGCACAGTGAGCTATGTTCTAAGTTTAGACAGGAGTCCACTTTTCAGATCTTCAATTGCAAGTGATGAGATGTTTGATGGGGTAAATCTAAATGTTCTGTGCTTTATAGGCTTTGACGAAGACGACTAGTCCGAAACGTTAGCCGAATAAACAGTTTAGCAAACCAGGTGCCGGCTACGGCAAAACAGCTTTCCATGGTTTTCTTCAAGAAAAGGATGATTACAACAAGTGAAAAAAAAAAAGAGAAACTCCTCTCCTGCCCTGGCATGGTCTGGCGGCCTAAACTACTGCGCTATATAGGATCTCGGATCACACTAATTTTCAATTCATTGGTCGAGGCGAGCTCGTAACTAGATTGCGCATGTTACACCATATTGAACGCCGCAAATCAAAAGAATCAAGAAGAAATTCTACCTTCAGAATCCTTGCAAGCAAAAATGCACTAATTTGGGGACATAAATTCTGGAACAGCTGTTCTTTATGACCCTATTCAGATTACTGACAGTAGTTGATTTTTCCCCTTGATTATGTCAGGGGCACCAAGAAAACGGAACATATTTATAAGTATGGAATGACTGCAACTGCTTCAAACTTATCATTCTCGGACAGTTGCTCCGAATTTCTTCTATTGTTGATTATTGTGCTTTTTGCATTCTTAACGCAGACATTAATCTTCGCAGAACCTAAAGTATCAGTGTGATAGAGGCTCGCACGGCATCATTTGGCAGTATCATTATCAAGGCACAATGAAAGTTTTTGATTTATGAGAATGTAATTCTAAAATACCACGCGGTTGTCTGTTTTGCTCCATCAAACATTGAGAAAAACACCTTAAGTGTGATTCTAGAATCAGTAAACAATGACGAAGCTATAGCTGTCCTCATCCCAGCAGACGCCTGATAGAAGATTTTGAGGTCTACTGGAACTCGGCCGGTTCTAGGGCACGGCAACCTCAGCATATTGCCTTAGATGATGCCGTGCTCTAACGCTCACTTCTTGCTCCGGAAATTCAAAATTTCCCAATTGGAGATTTCGAAGTGAGGACCTTCACACTTCTTAGACACCAATGTCGATCTTTCCTTCAATAATTTTCACATTTGAAAGCCCATTCACAGCGCGCATTCACCGCCATAATCTCTCCGTTTCCAATCCTAAACTCTGTGAGCTCAACCGGCTAAGGCTGCCTCTAAGGTTTCCCGTGCCAGTGCCGTGCTAGCCCCGTGTCAGAACGTGGTCTGCACACGGGCATATCACATGGGTTCCGGCATGGCGCGAACATTGAACGATTCGATGAAGCTGCGCATCTCACGCACATTTATAAAGAATCCCTTTTCGAGACTATCTTTCTAACCCTTGTAAACACGAATAGGTTTCCACTGAACAAATCTACAAACTTAGCTTCCATGTTAACATCGTGCCAGTCAACAGTGCAAACATTCATGTCGAACAATTTTTATACTAATCCTAGAAAAGTTCTGCACAATTTTGCACTTTCATTGGTTTAAAAGTATGCAGCACAAATTTGAGAGCACATTAAGAAGTTTCGAAGGCTGTTAAAATTTCAGCCAAATGTGCCAAGCACTGTCTTCCAAAAAATTAAATGAAAAAATCAAGAGAGATGTGGTACAAAAGTTGGAGTGCTTGGAGTCTGTCTCGCTCTTTAGGACTTTGACACAATGGATTCACAGCTGCGAGTGACTGTAGACGGTTTTTCAATGGTTTGAAACACGAAACTCACTGAGCAAGTGTGAAGTGACAACATTAATTTTAACTTCTAAGTCAGGTTCCGTTTCAAATTCCTTCAACATGTCACTTCGTGGCACCTGTTGACAGAAAAAAGCAAAACCATCTTCTTCTATGTCTAGAGTGGTGATACATCAACTCGTTGCAGTAAAAACAACGATCTCTTCGTAAGAAATTTTCCAAGTCTTTGGTGATTCTGCTGAGCTAAAATAAACAAAAATCCTTGTTCATATCAAGATAGGACTGAGCGGAAAAAACATTAGTATTGCAGAGTGAGCATAAATGAGAACATACCATGTAAAACGAATGCAAAAAGTGAGAAATTATTACGCATAAAATCAGTCCTGAAATGAGATGGCACGAATACAGAATGCAATCGTGACTTTGAGTGAAAGAATCATAGTTGAACACAACTTATAAACAGCCTACCACTCTCAGTGAATCTTCACAAAACTGAGGAGATGCCAATGGATTACACATGACCACCTGTCTGATGTCGGCAACGCAACGCGTGGAGCATAAAACATGACAGCGATAATAGGGTGTAAAAAAGTGTGTGAGGTACCAATAAGAACGGCAACACAAAAGCGTACAAAACTATGCTCAAAAACATCACAAATTATCGTTAACATTCTCGCGCAAAATCCGAGCCGCTGTTCCATCTGCTAATACGCCAACTCGTTCGCCCAACTTAAACAGCTCCGTCTGGATTGCGTCTGTGATAAATTTTCTTCTTTTCAGCTCGCTCCAGTCTTTCTTTAATGAGAGCTCCTCTAATATCGATCGGGTATCCAACAAGTTACCAACATGGATATCCACGTTCTAAAATAAGAAGAGAAATTTGGTAAATTCCATTTCATGCGTCAGAGCGGTTCTGTTTTCTATGGTACTCCTCTAAAAAGTCATATGTTATCGTCAATGAGCGATTTTTCTCCCAGCTTTCTTTTTTGGAGTACAAAAATAATGGTAATTGAACAGGATATGTGACAACTCTGGAGATAATTTGACACCAAAGAACCACTAATGGTTAAGCATTTTATAAAGCTATGTGTGATCTATGGTCTGATAATGCCGTTTGCCCGCTTTTCTCAAAGCATTCCAAACATCTGTTCTTGATGGATCCTCCAGAAAGCAATTAGACGTGAAGAGGAGAATGCATCAAAAACAAGCAATGGACAACCATAAAGGATGACATTTTATATAACGGCATGGGTTACCTATGCTTTTTACACGCAGATAACTGGTAAAAAAGTCTAACAAGCGAGATTGATTTCTCCTGCAGCAGTCAAAGGACCAGGGCATGTAAAGAAGTTAAAACAAATTCAAAAATTTGGCATCTCATGCAATGAACAATTGTAAGTCATATTACTAACAGACTTACATGGCCAAATCGTGGATGATACGGTGGTTGATCCGTCCAAACATTGCCCATATTTGTACACCAAATTGGTAGAATCAATGGAGGGTTCAATGAATCCATAACCAATCGTCCAACACCCCATTTTATACTGAAGAGAAATTGGAGCTTCTTAGGCCAATAATGTGGGCATGCACAGCTTACCGAATCGGGTTTGGAGTGACGCGACCTTCAGGAAACATGTGCACCCAGCCATTCTCGTTGAGTTTTTCCACGCAAAAATCCATTCCTTTCTGATGAACTCCACGTCCTCGCACGCAGGGGACGCAGCGGCCAAGCGAGAAAAATCTGAAAAAGTAGAAGTAAAGGAGGGGAGGTTAGCATATGGGAAACTCTAGCAGCGCAATTATGAGATTCAAAAAAGTTCAAAGCCAATAATCTTTGGCCACCGTTGTTGAATAAGCGATATAAGTTGACTTACGTAGTGTGCCACTTCTTCGAAAAGCAGATATTATGTGCTGCCAAAGTGTAGCGATGTCGATCAACGTTTTTCCACATCTCCGACATGGTAACAAAAGCTATAACGAATAAGAAATGGAATGCAAACTGAAAAAAAAGAAAAGAAAATTCACTGTTAACTTACCCCACAACAAAGGATCGTCCAGATTGCTGCGATGATTCGAAATAGTGATAAGTGGGCGCGTTCTGTCAGTCCAAGCTTTCATAAATGTTTCTTTATTGAAAATCCGCAACTTGTTGACTCCTAAATAGTTACAGAGATAATGCAACGTAAAGAGTGTCAAGAGAAATATATGTTTACCTGGTAAAAATATCAATCTTGTGAACAGATAAACGACACCTAAAGTGATGTAGGACTTGATTTTGTACCATGTAGATGGCTTCTTGGGGAAGGGCCATGGGAATGAAAAATCCTCCAACGGCGCAGCGGGATCTCTCAATCTGCCGGTTTGCCGCCTTTGATTGTATACACAAAACTTCTCTCCCAAAAAGAAACACATTAAGTAAGTGCGAAATAATAGATCATGAAGGCAATTATTAAAAACTCACTATACGAAATGACAGAAGCCTCCTCGCATACAATGCATTTCGGCTGGCTGCATCTAGCACCGGCATTAATCTAAAAATCGAAGTATGAATTGGAAGAAATTGTGTTCTACAATGATGGCCTTTGACTGCGTTTCTCTCTTCGATTGTTTCTGCCAAAACCGGTAATTGTACTATTGTAAAGATTCCAGGTCGCGATCAATGTTTTTTGAGCGTAAACATTTCTCACAGTATGCATGCACCTCTTTTCACCATGTAAATAATATATGCAATTTTTTAGACCTTCAATTTGAACAGAATTAGCTATTCATAACAAAACAAATTTTTCCTATTGACCAATTTACGCCTAAGCGTGCCTCATTGACGCCACAAGCGAACAAAAGTTGAAAAAACTTATCAGTCATTTCAAACGCAATTTACTATTTTTTGTTGATGAGTAAGGTATTGGCTTGACAAATGAATGTGACCGTAGATTAGCAGTTTTAAACCACTAAAAAAGGAAACTATACCCAGACCATTTCGTTAGGTAAGTGATTCTAACGCAGTCATGCAAATACATGAGAAATCTAGAACAATCGAAAATGTATCGTTATATTGAAAACACATCTAGAACGAGCTACCAACAACACATTACTTCGAAACGAAAGTGCAAAATAATGGAAGAAGCGATGTCTAGTCAACCTGACGTCCAGCGAGAACGAAACGAAAACAATTTGATACACGTACTCACAACTGGGAAAAAACTGCTAAACATACCTCAGACTCATACTGCACTTCACTTCGATTGATATACCACTGCTACTGCATCAATATCATCCAGAGATCCACAAAACAAGAAGCATTTCCTATGCAAATCAGAGCAAGCCGTTTGGGACGCTCTATCGACGCGGCTGCAACTGCGACACTGCACAATGGACGGCTTGTCATTTCCGCGAAATTTCCGCTCGAATTCACCCTTTCAATTCATTCTTTTTATTTTCTCCTTTCATGTACTTAGAGACCACTGTGGAAGCAGCGAAGTAAATCGGAAGTCCTGGAAAAAGACTGTGGCTTTGACACAGACACTTAGTCAGACTTGCTTTCGCACGAAATAACGCTTATTGGCACACTTCCAAAGCTTCTCATAACAACGGTTCCTGAGTAGAAAGTAGTACTAATGAGTTCATGAAAGTTCTCGTTCGTCTCTATATTTCTTATGAAGAAAACCTGTGCTTTTTGCACTCATTCCAAGAGAGACTAATGCTAAAGAGCTATGCCATGCTTCCCTTTCCACCGCAGTGCAGTTGCAGACAATATTGCGAGAAAGGCGGAAATGCTGGAAGGGGGTGTGGCCTTAGTAGGGTGCTCGGGAATCTCAGACTGCGAGAAATCCAAAAGATTTGCCGCCATCAAGCAGTGTGAAAGTAAGGGATACTTGCTCTCACCAACTTTTCCTCGCGGATTTTTTCTACCATCTTCGTTCACAACAAAACTCGCAAAAGGTGGATGGCATGTGGAAAACTTTATTACCACCCGTTTGCCAAAGGCGAATATAGTCTGCGCGCGGAAATGGCAAGCGCATTAATTGAGTATAGCCTCGAGCGGAGCCTCGAAATTTTTTGAAGATTTCTATGCGCAAAGCAAAGTAAGGTTAGTCCCAGACGAACGCGGAGCCCGTAAGCGCACGCGATTATGCATGTGCAATCGACGCGTTTGCGAACTTCGTAGCGATAAATTGTGCATTTCATCGGAACTAGCCTTTATGTGCCTTTTTTTCGGTCATCACTGTCATTCTTTTCATGGTTCAACGTCTTTTGTCAAACTTTTTCCATGCTTATGTGGTTTTTCTTGATTTTTCCTTTCCGATCGAAGACTCCAGACGTTTTCTAATCATGTGCGTTTGAGTTCGCTGTCATGGCTGAACTCAAGGAAGCATTCATGAAAATCAGAAAATCGGTTTTGAATAATAAAGAAAATACGGAAAAGTAATTTTTCTTGCTACATGTCAATACTTTTTCATTCCGAAAATGTGAGGTTCATAGCCCTGAATAGTTAATCCTCGCCTGGCATTGCAGGATTTTTCATCTTCTTTCAATAACCGGAGGCAAACATTTCTCTCCATACCTAAATTTTGCGTCAATTTGAGCCAATCACTTTAAACTGCTTCTTTACTGCACGACCATCTCCGGTAAATTCTTTTATTCATATAGAATTTGCGAAGGGGAAATTGTTGCACCCTTCAGCTAATCTAGGTGGTTTCCTCTCGCAACCTTTACACACTGAACTTTCTATCAGCTACAAAAATGGAATTTTCAAATTTTTTATGGCTCAAATATGAGCTAAAATTCGTCTCTCAATTATAGCTTTCACCCGACTTTGAGTATTTTGGGAACTAGCAGGATTTATCTATTTGTTGATTTATTTAATACGCGCAAAGCGTGCCACCTTGGAGCAAAGAACACGAAAACACACACAAAACAAAAATTTCCTGCTCTCTATGATTTTTTCGCACATCTCTGAGATTATTGCTCCTCTTTGGTCACCCGCAAGAGCTAGGTTGTCAATTATAGTCAAGCATTTTAATTGTCTAAAACAACACTTTTTATAAGCCTAATCATTTCATTTTTTTGTGATGATCTTTTCTCTTGTAAAATGTTTCTCCTCAATCAGCATTCTTTGCATTTTCCTCTTCCTTCCTTGAAATCAAAGTGGAGCGCGAAAATTTTGGAAGAATTCATTTAGAATAGGGTTTCTAGAATTTCTTTCGCAGCTTGTCTCATAGCCCATCCATTGTATACTTTAAAACACACAGTACTGTTTTTTTTGTAAAATCAAAATTTTCTTGGGATTTGATTGCGTTTGAAAGTGCATTCTGCTCTTTTTTCTTGCAAAAAATCTTTTCATAATTTATCATTGTTTATGGCCTGACTGAATTTTTAGAGCATGCCGAAAAAGAAGACAGGACAACGAAAAAAAGCTGAAAAGCAGCGTGAACTCCAGAAGAAGATTCGAAGTGGCGAAAGAGACTTAGCAGAGCATCCATGCAATTTTCAAATGGTATGTTTTATTGGATGTTTTTCTAATTTACGGAAATAAGCTTTTGTTCGGAAAAATTTTCTGCAATCTAATCTCAATCAGAAAATTTTTTCCAGCAATGCGACCAATGTCTTCGGGACCAGAAATCACGAGCATTTTGTTATTTTTGCTCAGCTATTAGTAAGCTACCTGTTTGTGCTCAATGTGGGAAACAGAAATGCATGGCGAAAACTGGTGATTGTGTCGTCAAACATCCAGGGAAATTCACTACTGGTGAGTCTAGCTGCCAGGCTATGGCTGCTCTATCGTAACCAAGAGTAAGACGTTCATGTTTGCAGGAATGGGCATGGTGGGAGCGATCTGCGATTTTTGTGAAGCTTTTGTATGTCATGGACGGAAATGTTTGACGACTCATGCTTGTTCGTGTCCTTTACGAAATGCTGAATGTATAGAATGCAAGCGCGGAGTCTGGGACCATGGTATTTGATTTTTTAAAACATCCTAGTTACTGGGGTTGCGAGATGGTTTTTTTTTCAGGGGGTCGGATATTCAATTGCAGTTTTTGCATGGGTTTCCTATGCGAAGATGATCAGTTTGAGCATCAGGCCAGTTGTCAGCATATTTACAGTGAGAACTATAAATGTAAGTCCATAGGGACCGCCATTTTCGTTTCCAAAATCATCCATAATTTCAGGCATGTCCTGTAATCGTCTCGGCATCTATACTTGTATGAAATGCAAGATTTGCTTCTGTGAAGAGCATGTTCGCCGAAAAGGAGTGGTGGTCTCAAAACTCAAAGAATTACCGTGTCCGAAGTGTAACTGCCCCGTGAAAGAGACCAAAGACTACAGTGTCTCAGGTTCGCTACCGTACTCCTATCATCTGGTGACATCATGATTAACTTTTTTGCAGTAAGGCGACATGAATATGGTCGGCAACATCGTCCAGACCACGAAGAAGACGAAGATAATTACGAGGGAGGAGGGCAATGGAGGTAACTAGTTTTTGATTTGATTTTGGCAGTCGAATGGGATAAAACGGTTGTTTTTGAGCTGAAAATATACGATATTGTGTCTAATAAGGTCCCTTAGGAACGAAAGTTCCGGAATTTTTTTTTGCACAGTAAAGGGCAAAATGAGGAGGAAATGCTGGTCAAAAATCCTCGTTTGCACTATCGACAGTATGCTACCGTACCACAACTGATCCACTTCGTCTACTTCGCTATTGGTCAGATCAGTGAGCTGACCAATAGCGAAGGAATCGTAGACAGCCTCCTCGCTATTGGTCACTTTACATTTGATCAATAGCGAAATGGATGAAGCGGATTAAGAGTAGCGCGTTCCTAAGGGAGACTTGCGATTAATCTGCAATTAATATATATTGAAAAATTCACCTCTTTTCCCCCCCTCCTCCAATTTCATTCTCCTCCGTCAAAGTAGTAGGAAATCAAAGAATATATAGACCTGTAATGCGATTCTAGGTCCAAAAGAATCTACTATTACTGTATTATAGTGTGCTCGAGTGCGAAAATGACTGTATCTTTAACATCACTGAAAAATTATGCGAAAATTATTTTTTATAAACTGTTTTTCTTGATTTTGACCAGTGGAGAATTTTTAACATTTTCAGCGGTAATTATGGCGGTGGCGAGTATGCTGATGATGAAGAAAGTGAGGAAGATGAAGGATCGGATGAATCTGACGGCGATACAGAAGAAGATTCTGATCATGATGCAGAAGAGGAGCATAAAGAGAAGAAATAGGTTACCTGAGCTTTCAAAACTTTTCTTTACTCGAAATTCTGTTTGTCACACGTTCTTGGGGCGGAATGTTGTTGTTATCTGATGATAGATTCCAGAGATATAAATAAAACATATTTATTTGAATTTGTGGTTACTGAGGTACTCGTCGTAAATTGGAATTGACAGTATTAGAATCGTTGTATCAAGTAAAAATGCATATTTGGCATAGAGGAGAATCACAGACATTCTGTACAGTATTAGCATAAATGTAAAGCTTCAAGGTGAGCTTCGAAGGGATATTATTGCAATTCTAATATTCATACAAAATTATAATCCACAAACAAATTATAAAAACAGAGTTCACAATCAAATTTTCCGCCACTAATTTGACTAAACCGAAAATATGGTCCATCTGACGCGAAACATGAAAGAATGAGGAATTTGGTCCAAAACATTGGCATGGAGATCGAAAATCTTTTGATAAATTGAACAATGCGCAATAAGAGAGAGAGAGAGCAGCGACCCTGTCGAGGAAGATTAAACCCGTGTGCGCATGAGGTAACTCGGCCAAATCGTTCGTACACTAGCTATATCGTAGCATGATTCGAGAAAAATTCTTTTAAATTTGTTTGAGCCATGTGCGTCTTCCAACGAATATGCCGTTCTATGTATTCCAAATGCTTAGACATTACCGGTCCCCATTCGTCCACCAGGGAGCGAACCTGAAATATTATATTGAAACTTTTTGGCAAATTAACCAGCTATTAAAAGTACCTGGTTGAGCTCATCAAGTGTTCTTATCGAATGGACCATGATCCGTGACGCTGGTTGTGGTTTCGCCTCATTTACAGAAAAGAGTAGACGCCTCTCCTGTGTGGTCATTTTCCCGATTTGGTTCCATAATGCTTTTCGGAATTTCGGGTTGTAGTGAAGGGAGAAGTCAGACTAAATAAGTAGTGATAAGACTTTATATCCTCATTCAATCCATTTTCCTCATTTTTATACATATTTGAGTTAAAAGATTCAGAATGTCACAATTCTAGTATCAAATTACAGCAGCCTCACTCCTGCTTTTGCTCTCAGTTATCTTGAGGTTAATGGAACTAGGCAAAATTCTATGCTTTTAATTCTGGATCTCTAAGCAACTCTGTATGATCTCGCGCACTGTCAGATCTATATCTACCGTTCTGATACATTCGGAATTATGATTCTTTGATTTGGAGAACGCTGAGTGTTTGCAGTTAGTGCTAATCCGATAGGCCATTGGCTGATTGGTAGAGCATCTGAACGGTAATTGGCTTATTGCTCGGTGATTGGCCAACATATGCTACCCTGTGATTGGCGGATCGCAAAACCACCCAGAAGGGTTTTCTGCATTTGAGAACTACTATCGCTCCAGTCACCAGTTAGTTCGACATCATTCATTTTAGCTGTTAGTCTGCTATATTAGCGTGTGCTGTATAAGTATTGCCGAAGTTGGAAAAACTCAATCGATATATCGATTTTTCTGCTGCATTGCATGTATACACGTTTTTTTTGAAGGACGTGCCCTCTCTTTTAGCTTGTAAACCTTCTCTAATACTCCGTTCCGGTCCCCATACAACTTTCCTTTTGCTTTCTACCTCAAAAAAGCTATACCCCAGTCTATGACCAGACTATTTGAGAGCGTACTCCTCCAAGAGAGCAGATATTCACATTATTTACAAGCTTTGCCACGGTCTTTCACGGTCATTGGGTAAGCTCAGTAAAAGAAATTTGACGAACCGAATCCTTACCTGTAAAGAGGATGCAAAAATGGCAGCATTTTTTGTAGCGACGATTTGCTTTGCAGCTAACTTCACCACACGATCATTATGGGAACAAGCAGCCAGTTGTACAGATGTTGACCAGAGACTACCTCGACTCTTCAGCTGGGCTTCTAGCAGGGATTCCTGGTACGATGAAGTTAGAAAAGAAACAGATGAAGGTATCAGGTAAGTAGCTTACCTCTTTACTGACGTTATGGGTAAAAAAATAGTGGCATACGGCTGTGACTTGTTTGTGAATATCGTCATTGAGCGAATTTGGAAACATCATCCAGCGTTTAGCCTGTATACAGAAAATTTTGTTCTTTTAAAATACTATTTTGCTCGTGTTGGACTAGCCATTTTTTGTTGAGAAGCTTTTGATTAATCAAGTTTACCTGAGTTTGATGATCACATGTGGCAAGATTAGTCAAGCATCTCAAGTGATATAGCTTCGACAACCTGAAATCCACATTTTCTCAAAAATTTTCTTTTAGTTCATGACTCATATACCTTGTTGGATCTATCAGCCACATCGCAGCCATTTCCGTATCCGTTTGGCTTTCATCCAACAATCTGTCGAACTGTGCTACAGCTGGAGCTAGATAAAGCTGAAGTTCTGGCATATCCACTCCTCGGAATGAGTCGAAAAGTCGGTGTATTGCACTTATTCCAATGAGAGACACTCCTAACTCGGTTTCATCTGCCAGATACCTGAAGAACTGCAATAAAAAGATGTCTAGGTGATGTTTGATTGATCCATGGTCTCAGGAGTTCCTTTACCCTTCGAAATTTCAATTTATCACTCCAAATTCTCTAGTGGAAATTATTTGTGGATTGATAATAATTGGACATATGTCCATCATTGGCTTGAATCTTGGAAAATCCTTTAGCAAATATCTGGAAAGCGGGTCATTCGAGTTATTCTTTGAGGCATAGCTGTTAGATTTGGCCAAAAAGCCGCAGTAATTTTTACACGAGAAGCCAGACTACTGTAAATCGTGTCAGGACCACTTATCGCATACATTTATGTCCTATTCTGCAATTACGTACTATAACAGATTAAGAATGACACAAAGGTCCACGGAAAGCATCTCATTTACAGTTGTACTTTCTTGAAATTTTATTTGCGTGTTTGGTAAAATATTATGCCTGTAGTTAATGCGGACTCAAAAAAGTAGTAAACTTACCCTAAAATGTAAATGTACAATTGTGGAAGGTCAGAATGCGCCAAGAATGTTTCGGCATCTACAAGAATCTGTATACGAGATTTCGCTGGAATCTCTTGGTGATTCTGGTGTAGCTGAAAATTCATTTTTGTTTTTTCAAGGCATTTCAGGGCTACTCTCACAAAAAATGTTCCCATACCAGCCTAGCGAGCATCTTCCAATTCGTGATATCGTAGTTTACCCTGTAAGGATAAACCCAGTTTGGGTTCGCAAGCACCGCCTGACTAGGAGACAATTCAACATCGACGAATGTGATGCTTCGATTTTTCAGCCAAAATTGGCGCACTATCTGTAAAACAATTTTTTTGAATTTTGATGGATGATGTAAGTTCTCCTACTTGTCCTTCCGTGCTTTTTACAGATCCAAAAGTGTAGGTAAATGGAATAGTCCAGAGATCAGTGGGTTTAGGGGTATGCCTTGGTTTGCGCAACTCATCCCTTCGGGCATGGATGGAAATGCTTGCCGAAGGTGGGGTAGCTGTTGTTCGAGGCTGAAAACGAGCAATAAAGCTGAGGATAGTATTTTAGCATTCAGGATTGTAGAGAAAAATACCTTTTTCGTTTTTCTCCGCCCGTGTTTTCGTCGCTTCTTCACCGGTTCAGCACTATCAGTGGGTATGTACTCAAACATAGAATCATCAAATGGTGTAGTTCCCTGCATGTTGTCTCGACGACGGCGACCTGTTCTCAGATCCCGTCTTTCTGGAGAGGATCTGAGAAAAAAGCATTCCCAAGTAGGAAGAAAAACCTACTAGGGCATAATCGCTCACCTTCCGCCACTTCTGAGAAAAGCCTTATGGTAATAATCATCGCAACGTCTCTGAGTTACACTAATCATATCGTTGTGGTAGTTTCGGCTAAAAATGTTGAATGATAATTTTCCAAAATTTTTGCGATATTGTGCAGAAGATTTTCTGGCAAACCTAAAAGTTATTTCAGGTATCCCTTCGTTAACCAACCACCCTTCCATAACTGTGCTAAGCCGTTGCTGCTCAGCCCCATGGTCAGCATAAGCTGGCATACTTTCCCATAATTCTTGCCTCGACACCGACCGATAAGCATTTTTTCGGAGGTATCTAAATTAAGGAGGAAATTATAAGAGTGGAAAGAAAGTTCATATTTTCGCTTTTCAAAATTTAGGAAACGTTACTGTATGCTTCAGAATCTATAGCCTACCATCTCCCTCCGCGCCCCAAGCTGTTACAGATTCAAGTCATGAAGTGAGCGAGAAGAGCGAGGAAGAATGTTTCAAATACTTCGGCTAACCCGAGTAATCTGGTGGGTCCGAATCAAAAAGCTGTAATTTTTTATGATTTTTAGGTTCATCTCTACTTCATTGTGTAGTACTATGTACTTCATTTCTGCATATCTCGATCCTTTTTGACTTAATTGGGCTAAGATTGTAGAGTTTTTTTAACCTGCGAATTCCAGCTCGAAACTCGAAGTCGGAGACCAAATCGCGAATCATATTCGTCATCACACATCCTTTGGCGTAGAGATGAGTACCATGGAAAGATTGCTCTACCTCGCGTTCTGTACTCAGTGGCCGCACCAGAGCTGGTCGTTCGGGTGTTGACTAAGAATAAGATCATAAAATCATCATAAGATATGCAATCTTGAAGCTTCGACTTCGCAGAAGTCGAAACTATGATTAGCACAATTTTTAGCCAAAACCAAGTTCTGAACACAAAAAACCTTTCGTTTCCTAGCTGAAAACTGCGACTGCGACGGTACTTTATACAAAATTTTTAATTAATCAATTTTTAGCATCCTAATAAGTGAATCTTCTTTTCATTAATTTTTCGTTTATCTTGCGAGTAATCCACGCCCTCTTACACTTTTTCAAAAGTTCTATTCGATTTTGCTGCGTTCCTTTCGCTTTTAATATCGAAATGCTGAGATTGGAAGGAAAAATTCTGCAAGTAAAATTGAAAACAAAGCTACAGTAATCCTGAGCCTAACAGCGAGCGAATGAGGCTTTACACTTGTTTTGCAGTTTAAAGACCATAGAAAAAGTTCCTCCAGGCGTGATTGACGGCAATAATCTGAAAATGCTTCTTACTTGAGCATGAGAAGCAAAAGTCGCGAGGTTCTTTCTAAGGCCCCGGACAGACTTCACGCGATTTGATCGTCGCGACTCAATCGCCGACATTTCCATTCATTTTCATTTCTCATTCAAAAATTTCGGGCTGGAAAAGTATCACAACCGAAATGCAAGTTGATCGGCATGGAATGATGTTGTAACAGTTGTCTTGTCGCGATTCAGTAGCGACGATCAAATCGCGTGAAGTCTGTCCGGGGCCTAAGACAGCGGATTTCCACGTAATCAAAAGGCTTAGGACGCATGTGTAGTAGTTTAAAAGTTTGATATTTTCATTAATTCAAAAACTATAAAATGTTTCTTACCTGTTTCCTGACCAGCTGACACAGCCGAGTCAAGTACTCGTTGTCCGTCAGCCTTGGGTGCTCTTGCTCCAGAAGTTCGTACACCATATAAGTCGCGAAGCCTTCGTTCAGCCACAAGTCTGACCAGTCCCTCATCGTAACCAAGTTACCAAACCTACAATATGACACTTTAGAGTACAGTACGATGTTACACTGTAAAAATCTGACTTGCCATTGGTGAGCGATCTCATGCGTAACGATTTTTTCGATACGGTATTCGTGGTATAGTCGATCAACAGTCATATTGATACTATCTAAAAGGTAGATTTCAATAAAAGGTTTTTAGATGACTGAATTACCTTCTAGTGAGCTATCTAGGAGCAGAGACTGCTTGTCGAAAACTATTAGACCCCAATTTTCCATTCCACCTACTGGAAAACTTCGTGCCGCAATGAAGTCCATTTTGGGTAGTGGGTACGGGACCTAAATAGCTTTCTTTCACACTGTATTTAGATTTTGGGTGTGTCCTATATGCGAGTTGGACCTCAATTGTAGCTAAACAGCTTTTGAGTGACTTTTTGAGTAGTGAATTTTTTGTAAGAAATCTCACCGAGTAGGAGGAAGAAATTATCAAATGATTATATTAGCCAAAGTCAAAGCCTTGTTTACTCAAAACCCGCACATAATTTTGGTGAATCTTGCGTATTTTGGGCAGGTGAGCATCATAAATTTGCAAAAAACCACATTCATAAATGGGCATAATACGTAGCAACCTCCTCGCACAACTTACCTACCCTTTTCGTCTTCTCTCTTTTTCAAAATTCGCAAAAAAAATTTTTTTGGAGGCTATTCAGTGATCTCAAAAATCACAAAAAATTCTGTTCGTTGAGGCTTATCAACATTCTAGACTAGTACCTCTAACTCTTCTTCCATCCTATCGAACATCACTGGCGAGAAGTTGGCCGCAAAACGAGCAGAATGAAAGTCTTCTGGATGTGTCCAAATTGAGAGTGGTAGATTCCGTTCGGTACGCATCTCCAGTGGAACCATCTCTCCTATAGGATAAATTGGAGATACAGAGGATTTCTTTTCGATCCAAGAATTCCTCACCAATTGCGAAGGCTAATAGATATGTAGACATAGGTGGTGACTCGTGAAAAGTTGTCATGACAATGTCATGACTTCTTTTCTTCGCTCCACTTTTGGGCATGTTGGATAACACGTTGTACCTTCGATGATGAAGAATGGAAATGTTGAATGTAGCCTACAAAGACTGTTTGGTTCAAAAAGACCAGAATTTTGAAGATTTTTTACCTTGACTCCTGGATCATCCCAACATGGTACAAACGATCTTGCTAGGGCTGGTTCAAATTTGGTGGTGAAAGAAGCGACTACGGTGTTGTTCGCCTAAAAGGATTCATTGTGGAGGAAGAAGGGTGGGTGTGAGCCAAAATGGATGTTAGCTGAATAATCTTAATGTACATTTACGGCTGTCAATAGCGTTGACATATTCTCACTTTAGGGAACGAATGCTCTCTGCTGTTCTGATAAGGTCGAAAAATAAGGACTATTCTTATATCCTCCGATCTCAAAATTCCCGCGCAAGTATTGTTGTGTTTACAACATTGTAATGTGACACATCGATCATCATTTCGTTTTTTAGGAGGAGGAAGAAAACTCTTGCAAGACTGCAAGGGGCAGGTGGTCCATTTCTTTCAGAGTTCTATCTCCATACTATGTCATAAATAACTGTTTCGCTTTTTATCCAAAGAAACTGAAGATTTCAGCGGTCACACATAGCAAAATCAGAAAATTGAACAAGTACAATACTACAGAACAACAACTGCAAACAAACGAATCACCAAGATAGCGAGCAAATTTTTGCTTTTCGTGAGTTAATTTTCTAGCAGGTCAAGGTGATCTCTTGCTTTTTTTCAAGATTGGGACGATATATGAGAAGGGAAGAGGGAACTTTTGCATTGTTACAGTATGCTGTTGTAACAAAATATGGCGACTAGAACAGTTCGCGACTATGTTTGTCGTATGACAATGGGCTTTCTTCTTCTCAACGTATTGTTACAAGTTTACTGTAAGTAGCAGAGCGAGAACAGACTTGTTTATAGTGGGATTACGGTAGCTTACTGTATAGATATGTGACGAAAAACTCCGAGAATCTCTTCTGTTCAGTAAATAATTTGTAAGATTACTGCAACTGACCGAATCAACTTCATAGTAGCAGTGCAATCCTCCGTCATCATCGCATATTGTGCTATTATATTCCATTTCCAAGAGATACCTAGAAGTAAACCTGAAGCTTTTAAGGGGGAGGGGGGTGGTCAAGTGTTCTCACCGTCCTCTCTGTAGTCGCTCCTTCAGCACCAAACGGGCAAGTTTCTTTTGATCTTCTCTCTTCAAAGTCTTTGGGTACACTCTTTTACCTGAATCTTAGTTTCGAATTTTAGGAGTACTGGACAAAATATGTATTGCTGCTTACCTTCTCTCCTCAATCGTATCCTTTCGATATTTACACGGGTACCTACATGAAAGAGAATTTCATCATCCGTAGAGTTTCCAAATGAATCCAAATGTACAGTCAAACTCCCTCGGATGATTCTTTGTTGAAATTGTGTCAAATCTAACTGAAATAACCTTTAATAATGACAAAATCGCACTCAATAGTGTTTTGACATACGTTGAGATCGTAATGAAGTGGTAATGTATGAGTGGGCAAAGGCACTAGAAGAACTTCTTGTTTCCTCTTTCCATGACGTGCATGAAGCTCCTCCATAAATTCATAGGATTCATAAGCTGGTGGAGAGACATCCATCAAAGTGAAGTTCCGTTGTGGTTCAAGCTAAATGGTGGTGGTGACGTCACCACTAACTTTATGGGATAAAGACACTGGTATGAAAGAAAACATTTAATGCAGCCCCGTCTTCTACAAAAAAGAAAATTTCGACGAAATAACTCGATACAAACCGTCGTATCGCTGTATATTTTTTGAATGAGTGTTTTTCGGGTTGGAAAGTTGATGAATACTACTTCGATCAGACAAAATGTCTGTCGGGATACGGTAGATATACGCTAGGTAATGCTCGGATTTAATGAAAGCGTAGGTTGGAACCAGCGTGAACGTCACCTTTTAACGTAGATTTTCACTTTAGTCCAAGCTAGTCCCATCATATACCTACCGTAATCTTTCTGTTACTGCAGCAATGTGATTTTGGGATACGGTGGGGGTACGGTAAGCAAGTGTGCTTGGATCTACTTGATACATAGGTGAATTTATTGGCCTAAAACTTATCATTTTATGCGAAGTTCCAGGTCGATGCGAGCAAGATCTACCGTATATCTATAACTTTTTGTAGATGCAGCATCGTAATCTTTCAGGGCATACGATAAAGTAGTTTTTTTTATACGTATATGTGGATTATTATGATCAGCTCAAGCTAGATCCACCGTAAGCACTAATTATACTATATCACAAGATATCCGGCCTATGCTTCGTAAAATTTTTCTTCGTAAAATACGAAATTCTTACAGTTCGGGAAGTTACAGCGATATGACGTTAAAAACGGAAATTTCTACCAGAATTCCGTCTTTTATTTTGCAGAAAACAGAGGGCAGTAATTTAGAGGTAACATGCAGGATACGAAAGGATAAACATGAGGAGAAGACGCACCGGAATCAGACGAGCACCAGGAGTTAGCGTGGTTAGTGAAAAGCGAGTGACAAGTCCGGGTTTCTTGGTAGTAGTGAGTAATGTGAATTCATCATCATCTGGCGGATTAGTAGTAGGGGATGGGGTAGGCGGAGGTGTTATGATGTAGACCAACTTAAACTCGGACACTTAAAGGTGACAGAAGACTCGGGCAGATAGCGCTTACCTCATCGGCTACGGTATGGTTGTTCTCGCTTTGTTCTGAGAGCCAGTGACCGATCAGAAAGGCTAGAAAGACAGCGAGAATAAAGACTGCATGGATCAATAGGACGATTATGCATCTTCTAGCGTAATCTGGCTTGCGATGTGAAATTGAGGACAAACCAGAGACGAGCGAATCTGAAAGATATATTATAGTTTTTAGTGAACGAGTTTCCCCTTTCTCCGTAAACAACTGTTAGTCGAAAATCTTCAAATGTTCCACCTTTTCTTTCTTACTTTTCATACATTTTGGTTTATTGTCTAGGCGGAATGATATTACAATCATAATGGTACGCTCATGTGCAACAATTATCAGATGAAAAGTAGAGCTTACTGCTTCTCACTCGCCTTCTAGAGGACGAAGAAATCAAGATAATACAAGGAGCCCAAAAAATCGTGCCCGTTTTACCGCTCATAGTTTTTTTTGCGTCAGGACTCTCATGGATTTAAATTAGTATCATAACAAAGAGGCCGACTTTTAATTAATTTGGGAAAAAATAGTCCATTTCCACTAGCTTAGTACTTTTAGCATCTTAGGGTTTGCTTCACTTGAATCTGGTATCCTTTAGCAACCAACGAAATAGCAAATTACAGTGTATTTGACAGATTTGAGAACACCCGCTATCGAGAACGATCTATTGAATACTTCATATTTGCTCTGGAATGCGATAGGGTACCATAACAGCGTTTTTCTCACATTCCTACTTAGACTAGTGGAATTTTGTCTGAACTTCGACCTGAATGGGAGCCTGAACCTTACTGTAGTCAGCTTATAACAGTGATAGTTTCACATTCTTGAAGAGACAACATAACAATGTGAAAGTTCAAGAGTCTATGTTGTCACTTCAGTAAATCTCAAACTTGATGACCTTTGAATCAAAAACGAAAAAAAAGTGAAGCTTTTCAAAGATATCCCATAGAACGAAATTTGTGCCATTATGAAGGATAAGATGTTTGTTGTGCAGATAAAAGTCACTTTGATATAAATGTATTTTTTCCAAGATTTTTGGTTTGACAAAGCACAGCATAAGGGTGCTAAAGGTTGAGTCAAAATATCAGGCTGTTCGGAAGATAATGTCGCATCGTATTTTATCATGCAATCGCGGCAGAGTGGGCAGAAAAGTAAATAAATGGGGTACCAAACGATAGATCGAAGCAAGATTACAAAAGAAGCTCGAACCTTCGCGTCAGATTTGATCTGCATGAAGTTTGTAGCCAAATTTCATAAGGCATTGAAGATCTAAATAACGAAAAAAAATCGTATCTCCGTTTAAAAAAGTCCTGGGAACCCCTAATTTGCTCACGTATGGATCCACCATATCAGACACTACACTCGTACTCACATTTTCGTGGTTTTTCCAAGGGAAATTGAGAAAACGAAATTCGGCATATTTTGGTTAAAGCAATCCTGAGCTTCTCTCAAATAGGTGATTCTGTAGTACGAACATTTGGAAGTCTAACCATGAATTTTCAGCTTTAGACAAGCTCTAGTTTTCAGAAAAACCAAATTGTTTGCAAAAAAACCCCTAAAAACGCGACATACACTTTTGACCTGATTTTGTTTGTTGAGCCATAGAAAAATACCACAAACTGTACAGGCGAATGTCTAGTGTGGAGAGTACATGCCTGTGCAAATTGGAGTCCCTAAAAAGTTATGGACGGAGATACGATTTTTCGGGTGTCTGAAATCTTTATATTTTGGATTCGAACTTCACTTAGAGCAAGATTTCCGCCGAGATTTGTAAACTGTATTTTAGAACTTGCTTTGCTCTATCATATGATACCCTCCCCCCCCCCCCCCACTCGCTGTTTTCTGTAATCACACTGTCGTGGGTGGTAGGATGCCATGCAGCATTATTTTCCGGACAACCTAATACTTTTCTTAGAGAAAACATTGAGGGGATTATTACCCCGCGCTATAACTACAAAATAATTGGCTTAAGAAAGCATGCTCTGCTCCAGGGGGAGGTAACACATCAAAGATTCAAATGTTTCTCTAACCTAGTTTTTAGGATATTTTCACCGATGCAGAACCTTTTAAGCTAGCAGGTCTCTTCCGGCCTCAAAAGACAAAAGCGATTTTGGTTTTAGAGGTTCATTGCATCCTCGTGCCAGGCTCTGGATGACATCTGTTAATTCCATGAAAATCAGGAAATTTTTGCCCGTACTTGCAAAAATTCCATTTTGACTATACGAGGATAGAGCACGTTGCCGCTTCAACGTCAAGAGAGGTTTCGAATTTCACATTTTCTTAATAAGCTATAGTGAAGTAGTACGGAAGGGGTACTAATGGTGGCTCTCAAACATTTTAATTCCTATTACATTGATCAACAATAAATGTTATTCACCCAAAGTCAATGATTATACCCTTGAAAAATATTTGGTGTCCATAATCTTAAAAAGGCAACGTGTATTGTTTAGCCTTAGCAAATATGAAAAAAAAATGGTTTGGAAGAACTGCAAGCGTCTTGGCGGGAATCTACCGTAATCCCAAGCTCTTGCTGCGAATGTACGAACAACAAATAAAAGAGTTGTCTCCTCAAGAGAATAAGTTATTCGTAGAGGGGACTTTTCAAACTGTATATTTATAATATAAAGTTATTAAACTCTCTCCCCCCCCTTCAATCAAAGGGCATAATTGGCTTGCTTACCCGGTGGTTTGCTCGTTTCCGTTCTCAAACACGGCTCGGCTTCCTCAACCAATACGCATTCGCCCATTTCTAGTAAGCCATCGCATTCATTTCCAGCTCTAATTTTAGTGCGCTGAGCATCTAAAACATAAAGGTTTTCATATAAAATCTATCATGAGATTTTTACGGTTTTGTGAGAGAAAGACAGGGCAAAACATAAGGAGTAGGAGAAAAATGAGGGTGAAATTTCGACAATGGCAATCAATACTTTAATCTATGTCATTATTTAGAAGAATCCCTACATTAAAGCGTTTTACTTCTCTTCTAGCGTACAAATGATAAAGAACTTTAAGAATAGATTTGAATACGTCAGAAAGATTATTATGCCTAATTCTTGTCAATGTCTTGGCTTTTTGAGTTAAGATAGGAGTCTTAAAAGCTTGACATTTTGAAGCATCCGATGTTTTGTGAAAAAACATCCAAGATCTTAAAAACTGTGGTAAATTTCAAAGTCAGCTTCAATGCTTACATTTGAAGATTTAGAGCATAGCGCATATAAGAAGCAACAAAATAAAGCAAGCGTTGGAAAAGGGATGATTAAGAATATTTAACAATGTAGAGATTGCATGAACAGCAATTCTGTTTCCGGGACTCTACAGATTTGACTCACTTTAATTCTTGAAATGCAGTTATGATTCAACAATAAGATTACTACTTTCTAAGAGCCCCAAAAGGGCCGTAATGGATATCTGAGACCTTTCAAAAACCAAATGGACAATGAGCTTTTCGAAAAGCAAACATTGACGAGAGTCAATAGACTCTACGTCAATAAATCATAGGAGTATAATCTTTTTCGAGGAAAGAGAAAGATGGCGAGACTGCTTCTCAAGTCTGTCTCCAAGTTTCTGAACATGGTATGGATTAAGCTGTATTGTTAATCATCTTTTGAAAATTATTTTTGACATGATTGTTATAGCGCTAACAGATTTTCCTAAGAATCGTTTGCACATTAACGATTACTGAAAAAATTAGCAAATCACAAAAGATCTTGCGACCCGACTCAGTTGAAACTCAGAGTTATATTTTAGATATTATGCTCTAATAAAATATAATATTATACAATACCGCTCACAGAATGTGCAAAATTTCCGTAAATGTCGCGAAATTCCGAAAATTCCGCGAACTTTCCGGAATTTCACGGAATTCCGGAATTTCGCGGTATTCACGGAAATTTTGCATATTTTGTGAGCGGTATTGTATTAGGTCGTTCCGAAAGTAATGTCGCTTTTTTCAAACGTACACCACATCTCGTGGAACAAAGATATGTAAGAGATTCTAGTAGCATATGATGCAGCATTTCATTCTCTTTCTAATGGCTACATAATCACTGCACAAAATCCAATAACCTCTAGAAAAATTATCAAAATCTGCGACCCATGCTTTTTGAGAAGGCCAAGTTTCACAATTTTTCTAAATTTTTACAATAACCCTCGGAAGAAATCCAGGTAATGGATGGATACAGCAAACCCTACAGGAAACAGCACAACTTTTTTCAACTTTCCAGAGCTCGTCATAATTTTTATATAGATTTTTTGTTAGAACCACCGAATTTTAGCAGGCTTGTCTTAGACACAAATGCATCAAACACCAGTAAATCTTCGGATTTTGAAACTTACAAAGATGGATTATGGTTTGACACCAATTTTATAAAGCAAATGAGCGTTTACCGCTTAAGATTAGCAACTTTCGAAAATTCCGGATACAGCCTGGGGCGTCCTGGAAAACCTGAATTATGATGATTTTATCACGGAAAGTTTGATAAATCGGGAATAAAAAATAATTGGTAGAAAGAAGAGAAAAAGTTGCGTCGAATGACACCCGAGCTGCTTGCCGGTTGTTGTTCTGTGGGGTTTAAGTTGACTAAATATGGAATTTGATGACATTGAAAATTGGTTCCAGAAAGTTTAAAAGCAAGCTAACGAAACGAAAAAAATCACTTTGTGTTCTGTAGGATTTGCTCTATCTACCCGCCACTTGCACTTCTTCGGGGAGTAGGTACACAAATTCAGAAAAATAGCCGAACTTGACCATGGCAAAAAGCATGAGTCGCAGGTTTTGGTATTTTCTCGAGGGCTCATTGAAGATTATGCAATAAAGTTACAAACGTTTGAAAGAGAATGAAATGCTGTATCGAATACTCCTGAGATCTCTTGAAAATCTTGATTCCATGAAATGTGGCGTTTATTTGAAAAAAGCGACATTACTTTCGGAACGACCTAATATATAAGTAGAAACACGCATGTATGCTTGTAGACACTTCGTAAAATTTGCTTCAGAAAACACATAGGTGAATAGGAAATAGGAAAAAATAGGTGATTGAAAAGTGGCAAGGTCTCTTCCAATTTAAACTCTTCCCAAATCAATTACTAAGCATTACTTACTGGAGTATATCGACAAAATTTTTACACTTTTACAGTTAAAATAGTTCCTGCAGAGCATCAATCCTAATTTGCATTTCCGAAGTTTTTTCAACTCAATAGTTAAGAGTAGAGTTCAAAGGTCCTAGAAATATATGTAATGTCGATCAATTGGAGTAGGTATACTGTAGGTGCCGGAAATGGGTCCATAAAGCTTGTGCAAGTAATTCAATCTTTTATTATGTAAACTGCAAATGGCGTGGCGCATTTTTGCAGACATCGTCATTATTTGCAGATTCGCCTACACAAGTCGGAAAAATTTGAGAAAAAGAAGATTCGTAGCCCACGCTTGGCGAATCTGCATTAGCAGCCTAATTGTGAGAATCGTCAAGTTACTAGTTAACGATATCGGCTATGAGGAAAAACTAGACATCGGCGCTCATTAGGGAGTTCTCATAATAACGACGAGCCAAGGAACGATCACTATACGTACAGCAGCGTAAGACTTTTCCAGTGAAGACCGCGCGCACGCTTTGATGGGACGTGCGTGTGAACGGCGCGTTACGGTATGCGCGTGAAGTCTTTTGATTATAGGTCGAATCGAGAGATAATTGTAGACTTGTCAAAGGCCAGGCGAGGTCGCAACAATGCAAACGAGAAATTGGTTCGTATTGTTTGAGAGCACTCGACAATATTGTGACAAATACCGTCCATTGGGGGGGGGGGGGTTTACACTGGAAAAGTTGGGTAAGGTAAGTTTTACCCTCATCTGGCAAGCAAAAACGGCAATTATAGGGTCATAGATTTGCAAAGAGGAATTGGGCCAGCTAACGAATTATTTAAGTGGGGGAAAAGCGCACGACAATGTTGCAGATTTTCCAAAAATCTTTTGTGAAAAATTAAAAAGTAAACCCCTATATTTCCGTAAAGATTAGAGCATATTTGAGATTGAATTAGCAAGCATATTGGCCATGACCACTCCACAGTATGAAAGTGCAAATGACAAGAATGCTGAATAAAAAATGCCCCAAATGCATTACAACGATATTGACGAGCAGCAGGCCTACAGTAGTCAAGACAAGATTCTGCTATGATGAGAACTATTTTCAATTGTAGATATCCAAGAGTGTGGTTATAAGAATTCGACATTAACGACACTGACACTTATATGAAGTATTTTTGCAAAATTCAAAAGGTTTAGCCCCTGACTTTCTTTTGTGACGATAACTTCGACAGGAAATGAGATACCGAAAAGCATGAAAAGAAATGAGGCACTGAAAAGCAGAATTTGTTATTTATTTATTTATTTTGATGCGCTCTAGGTATACTTCTATAAATAGGAACTAGAAGAAGAGCAAGATTAGGACCAGCAATAGCAGAATGTGGACCTTACTTTGTATTTTTGTTTCTTATAAAAAGGCCCTTATAGACATTATAGCATGGAAACATTGCAGATTAACGAAAACTGATAAATCAAGATGATAGTGCGTGTTCCAGAGAATTTTTCACAAGCTTAGCAGTGTCATTAAACCATTTCCATAAAGTTGAAAAACGAAAAGTGGCTGATTATAAATTGTTGAAAGAGCTCGAAGAGAATTTCTCTTGCACGATTGGAAGAGAAAAATGTGAAGTAGATTTTGAATATTACGCAGTTTCGTGGAGAGAAACTGAGCAATAAAGGAACTAGGAGATGGATTTGATAGCTTAAGCTTGAATTTAATCCTATACAACCTACACTAATAGGTTGATCCATACATATGAGTCTTGCACCAGCTAAAAATTCCCCTAAAATATTTTAAATGACGTTTCACGTCGTCTTGAAATTTTTCAAAATTTATTAATTACTCCATTCAGCTAAGTGAAATGTCGTGTTGAAAAAGAAGATCAAATAACTGATTTTGAAATTTCCAGGCTCTGACGAAGGCGAAGCAGCCGAAACGTCGGCCAATAAAAGTTTGTAACAATCTTGTCTCTTTGCTAAATACTATAATATACGAAGACTAAATAATTAATCAGGGACTAAAAATCAAAAAATCATGATTTGAATGTTTTAAAATGACTTGTTCGTTGGAAGGGAAATAGTTACAATTTTTCAAAAATTTGGTGGGAAAGGTATGGATCAACCTAATAGTCACAATAAATTTGTAATAGAGATTACTGAATCTGATTGTAGGGTTGAGGTAAGGACGAAAAACTGGGTCAACATTTGAAAAACTGCAGAAACAATACAATATTTCTATAGAGTCCCTGAACATAATGCAAGCACACTCGACTCATGAGAGCCAGGAAACACTTTTAGTTCAGCTCAACCTGGATTTTCGCGCTGAATGAGAGGTAATTTTAGGTTGTCGCAGTAGGTTGTGCCTATAGACATAAGCACTCAAGCCACTTATTAGAAGTGATTTGGCAGTGAAATTGCTGTTGTTCAGGGCCTTCACACGCGCCCCCCTTCGCCTTCCAACAATTCAACAATAGCGAAAGACTTCTGAACTGCCAGGAGACTCTAAAAGTCGTTCGGACCCCCTCTATACCAATGCACAGGTGGTATTTCGTCCGGGGATTAGTCTGGGCAATGGTCATAAAGGGCAAATGGCTTTGTGGCACAAACGTTTTTAAGATATGATGGATAGATTGTCGAGAGTATTGTAGTGGGACGAAAATAAATTTCTGG